CCAATGTGGGACTCGATCCCAGGACCCTGGGATCATGACCTGAGCCAAAGGCAGATGCTTAACTGACTGAGCCACCCAGGCACCTCCATAAGTAGAATAATTTTAAAGGTACATTTTAAAAAAGACATTCTAATAAAATTTTGATCAAGGGGCACTGTGTGTTATATGCTACTGATGAATCACTGAACATTACATCTGAAACTAATGATGTACTCTACGTTGGCTAACTGAATTTAAATTAAAAAAATAAAGTAATTATTGATAAAAAAATTTTGATCAAGGGGAGAAGGGATTCATGTTTTACTAATTCTGCTTTGTCATTGAAGAAACTGAGGCACCAAAAAGTCATCTGCTAAAGGTGACACCATGAGTCAGGGAGCAGATGAAAGATGACAATGTAGAAAGCAAGAGTATGGACTGAATCATGTACTTGCATAAGCAGACCAAGTCATCCAGATGTATTTTCAGGTTTTCTATAAAACATCAGAGACTTTACCATGGAGAAAGGACAAAAATAGATATAGGACCGGAGCACAAAGAAATTCCTCATAGCAACAGTATGAGGTTATTCTTCAATGCTGAAGTCCCGCTTGCTCAGGGGTGGAGGTGTGATGCAGAACTGGACGTGTGACATGATGTAGCTCCTCCCCGCACAGTTGGTTTCTGGCACACAGGGTCGAGTGTTTCTGCATTATAGGATGGAACTCAGGAGTCCCACTTCGTTAAACAAAATATGGGTTCAAATCATAAAAGAGATAGAAAGTGTCCTAAACAAATGTTTTTGAGCCTGAGGGATGGAAGGTTCTACTTCAAGTCAGAACAGATTTTTAGTGATGCCAGATCCATGCCAGGAAAGGAATCTCAAAGAGCCTTACTTTCTTCTGCAGGCATAGGAAGCACAAGAACACGGCCTGTGCTGTGCTAACCACACAGGGCAGAGAATGGGTTCTAATCCTAGTTCTTGATCTACAACGTATTGGTCATGACATCGCAGGTAAACTCATTCACCTCCCTGGCCTATGGTTTTATCGCCCTTAAAATAAGATGGTTGGGCCAGATAGCCTTGAATTCCTTCCAGATATAGTTTTCCAGGAGTCTCTGGCCATGAATTTAAAGAATGAGTCAATTATTTTTGTTGGATAAACAACTGGTTTACTGATTTCCCATCTCTTCCCATACTCTCATTGGCTGATGGTCTGATTGTCCCCAATTCTTTATCATTATAGTATATGTGAAGCTTCGGTTTACAAGAGCATATAAGTGACTAGTTAGGTCAATTACTTGGATTGTGTACGTTCCTAAATAGTACAAGTGTATCTTAGATATTGCAGGTTTGGTTCCAGACCTCCACAATAAAGCAAATATCATATAAAACAAGTCAAATAAACTTTTTGGTTTCCCAGTGCCTATAAGTGTTATTTTTACACTATACTGTAGTCTACTAAGGGTGTAATAGCATTATGTCTATTAATTTAAAAATTCCTTATTGCTAGAAAATGCTAACCATCATCTGAACTTGCAGCAAGCCATAATCTTTTTGCTGGTGGAGGGTCTCTCCCTTGGTGTTGACGGCTGATCAGGGTGATGGTTGCTTAAAGGTGGGGGTGGCTGTGGCAATTTCTTAAAATAAGACAACAATGAAGTTTGCCATATCAACTAATTCTTCCTTTTACTTAAACTCCTAATAGCCACTGTAGAGGTATCGATTGCCCTAATTTCAATATTGCTCTGTCTCAGGGAACAGGGGTCCCAAGGAGAGGGAGAGAGACAGAGGAACGGTTGGTTGATAGAAAAATAGGAACACACACAACATTTATCGATTATGTTTGCTGTCTCATATGGGCGTAGTTCCCGGTGCCCCAAAACCATCACAATATTAACATCAAAGATCACTGATCACGGATTGCTGAAACAAATACAGCAATAATGAAAAAGTTTGAAATACTGCAGGAATTACCAAACTGTGACACCAAGACATGAAGTGAACAAATGCTGTTGGAAAAATGGTACTTGATAGACTTGTTTGATGCAGGGTCGCCACAAACCTTCAATTTGTAAAAAACACATTATCTGTGATGCACAGTAAAGTGAAGTGCAATAAAATGAGGTATGCCTTTAGTCCCTGGAGACCTTAGAGGTTTCATACATCTTTCCAGATATATAACTTATTGGATTCATTCTTAGAGGAGAATGATCACTAGAAAGGAGTTTTAAAATGTAACAGGTTACAGTGAGAATTTTGCACCTACAAAAATGCAACAGAGTTACAATTCCTCATAGGGAAGCCAGTAGCTTTTTGTCCCAACATAGAAAATGTTACAGTTATTTAGAATCTACTTGATTGATTGACGCTTCCAGTATCATAAAGAGGATACATGATGTCACTTCACAAAGTCCCTTTTAAAAGCTGGGCAATTATTATACAATAAACTAGGGCTGAGAAGAAATGGAAGGTATATACAAAGGCTTTTCAGCTCGGCTCAGCATTTACATAGTGAGCAAGGTTTCATGAGAAATCTGGTGCTTGTTTTGGAATAGCTATGGTAGCAGTTGCAAAAACAGTAATGATCTATCTGTGACTCTTGTTAAGTGATGGATTCTGGAGATGGCTTTCCTTTAGAGAAAGCCTTAACATCCAAGGAAGTGCATGAAGCGGGGGTGAGGGAGTGAGTGAAAATATTTTCCAGTATTGTACTTAAATGAGTCCATATGAGTATTCCTTTTATAAACAGCCTAGCTCCTGTTTGATTTTGTGTCCTCGCTGCTCACATGGCCGTCATGATGGAGTGTGAGCAGCATTAGCACCTGGCTGTTTGGTCATCTATGAAGAGGG